AAAAAAAAAAAAAAAAAAAAAAAAAAAAAAAATGCAGAACAGTGCTAGCATTCACAAAAAAGATCATGCTAAGATCAGATCCATACTGGTAGAAATTAAGCTACAATCCAAAGTCCGTGAGTCCAAAGGCATGCATGCCGGCTGAAGGAAATGCAGGGTTCATCTGACAAGAGCTTCTTCAGAGCAGAACAAGAACGTCTCACTGGAGGGATCACAACAGGGTGAACAAGATGCCATCACACTTGTTTGTGTTTTTGAAAAGGAATCACAACAACAACAAAATTAAAGAAGAGTGAAAAGAGAAAAAAGAGAAAACAAATTCACAATGACCTATAAAACCAAAAGAAAAATCCGAATTATTTTTACACTTTAAGCATTCATCCTTTACAAATTAAACAAGTCATGCAAAGTTTACCATGAAAGAGATATTAATAATGCCATGTAAAATATAAAGGTACTTCATGACACATGGCATTCCCCCCAGTATCAATGCTCAAAATAGTGATTTCACTCGTTTAAGGGACATAATCTGTCAAAGCCTCCTTCCCAGCTGAATGTCTTAAAGCATTTAACAGCAACCTAATACAAATACTCAAAGGAGAAGTGCCTACAACCATCACTAGAAACACTCAGTGACGTAAAGTATGTTTGCCTTTCTCAGTAATTCACAATTTCTAAAGACGACAAAATATGTATCTTTTAACTCTAAGCCCTCACAAGCTGTGTTGCCGGCATGTGGGAGCCAGGTACTCACGGGAGAGGGGACGTGGGGCTATCCAGCCTTCGTGTCCACGAGCTGCATCTGCGCGCTGGCAGCCATGCTGCCCCCATAGCCCCCCTTGGACTGCATCTGGTTCTGGATGGAGCTAACCTGGAACAAAACAGAACCGAGTCAGGAACTAGGGATGGTGGCCGCGGATGCTGGTCTCAACATTCCAGCTGAGCAGCTGTGGAAAAGATACTTTTTACAGAAACAATTCTATTTTTGTAGACTTAATTTTTTCTGGTTGCCCTGAAGCAAGCGGGGAGGCTACAAAAATATTTGTTGGGCGGCCTCTTCCTCTCCCCACTTAACAGTGACAAAATCCCTGTTCTGTAATTCACAATGTACTTGGTAACACTTCAGAAATAGTCAAAAGGATACAGATCAACTGAACTTGAAGTATGTTAGTTTACAGACACCTCATGTATAGAACCATGTCCATTACTTAAGAGACCAAAATAATAATGAACTTGGACTAGCCAAAGATCAATTTTTAAAGTCCCATGTGATAGAATTTATATACTTGATTGAAGTTAGCATCCAAAGACTTGGGATGGTAGTCCAAATGTATTCACTAATACGGTAACTTCCTATCTGGAAAAGAGTCAACATGATAATGTGTCCTAACCACCCAAAAGGGCTAGTTTCTGATGGATTGTAAGATGCTTAAATGGTGCACTATTTTCTCTTTACTGGGCTGAAACAAAGTGTATAAACTTACTGGCAAGCTGTGAAGTGCTCTAAGTGTATCATTATTATTCCAATCTTAGTTCATAGCCCTTGGAAGCAGTGACTGAAAGAATCAGGCTAGACTGCTAGAAAAGGAGGCAAGAAAGTTTCAGGGGTGCCAGCCTAACTGTGAAGACTCAGAGCCCTGGCAGTCAACTCAACCAGCCAGTTCACACTTCGATGGCTCCCCAGGGAGGGGACATGACCGACAACATCCATTATCAATCTACTTCTCAAATACCTACTGACCACTTAATAGAAAACATGACTTGCACAGTGTGTTCACTGGTGATCCTGAGTTAATATACTTAAAGAAAATAGTTAAGGGCGCCTGGGTGGCTCAGTTGACTTCGGTTCAGGTCATGATCTCACGGTTTGTGGGTTTGAGCCCCGCATCAGGCTCTGTGCTGACAACCAGCTCAGAGCTTGGAGACTGTTTTGGATTCTGTGTCGCCCTCTCTCTCTGACCCTTTCCCTGCTCACCCTGTGTCTCTCTCAGAAATAAAAACAAAAAAAAAAAAAAATAGTTAAGACTTGTCTATTTATGAGCAATGCAGGTTTAAATATATTCTAACAGAAAAGCAAAATATAAAATGTATAGCTTAATTTAGATCCAAAAGGGTTTAAGTGAGAAAATGTAATTGGCTCTCAAACGGGTACATTTTTACCCATTTACTGAAAATTTTACTCACATGCAACATCTTACTCTAGTGATATCATGTGTAACGTCTATTTTCACACTACTCAGTATGACTATTTTATTAAAAAACAAAACAAAAAACCCTGAAATCTCCACGCCAATTTATTTTCACTCAACATCCTCAGTCTGAGAGGGCTACAGTCCATAAGCTACAGTTCAAATTCACTTTCTGTTCCTTTTTTTGTGGTACAAACTTGATTTTACCTACCAAATAATTTCCCACCTAACGTTACTTTTCCTAGATATTTTATAGCCTATTTATTAAAAATACAATTTCTGTATTTTTACATAGTAGATTCATAATGTCATGCTAATTCTAAGAAAAGAAACTGGTTTTCCTCCAAAAGTCAATTGTTTGATTTCTGGCATGAATTTAGTATAAAAGGTGATCTTGGGAAGAATGGTACTGAGGGGAAAACAAATTTCCAAGTCATTTGACCATTCAGTAATCCAGCACTGCGCGGCTGTGTCATGCACCTAACACACGCTGCTCAATTCTAGGACAAACTAACAGGTCCAACTATTTCTTTTGATAAACCGCACTTATGGTTTTGTCTCACACTCTTATTGCACAGAAGAGAATTGTCTCACCACATCAGGCTCACACAAGTTTTCTCTATCAAAGAGACTTTCAGGAACCTCAGGGATGGTGTAATACTCAACCTAAAAGAACTGCCTGAAGAACCAAGCCTGTGCTCGATAGGATTCAAAGGCTGTGTGTCACCATACAGACAATGATGGCAGCATGTACTCTGGGAGACACATTTGGTTCTAATGAGCTTTGACACTTTCTCAAAAAATCCCATCCCATAGCAGAGAAGGCTGCTCAGGGTCTGTCTCGATCCAGCTCGTTCAGCTGAAACAGGGGTAGACACCCTGCAACAGTCAATCCTGAAGTCTACCTAAATTAATGGCAACAAGAGTCACCTACATCAATGACAGGCTCCTTGTGGGGACAAAATGATGAAGAGGAATATTAAAGGAAAATTCTGAAATTTACATTAACAAGATTTAGAAAGGTAAATACCATGAACTAAAAATGTAATTCCTCCTTGTTTAAAAATCTAAACTGGGGATGACGTTTACTAAGTAATTAAAATCTGGGGTGCCTGGGTGGCCCAGTCAGTTAAGCGTTTAGCTTCAGCGAGTCTGAGCCCGGCATCAGGCTCTGTGCGGACAGTGTGGAGCCTGCTTCAGATCCTCTGTCCCCCTCTCTCTCTGTCCCTCCCCGGCTCACATTCTCTCTGAAACATAATAAACATTAAAAAAATTCATCAAAATTTGAAGCCACTCATTCTATATTTATGTATTAAAATAACTCTATTAAGAAAAATCCTAGGTTCCCATTTGGTCATTTCATGCTGGTCCAGGAAATAAAGCTACTGAATTGTATTTTGACAGCAACCTGACACCTCTTGTATCTCCAAAAAGGCAGCTGAGCAAAACAAAGAACTTTTCCTACAGATTTAAAACAAACAAGCTGTTTCCTTTCCAGGAAGCTACAAATGTTATTCCTTTGCTTACCTAGTAACTGATATGACAAACTTGTTTGCTGTATCCAGGATACCCATCTACCTATTTTAAAAGTCTCTGCTCTCTTGTAAAGTCTTTCCTTAATTCTGGCCGGTAAGTAAGTAGACAAGGGGTAATTCTATATCTATAAAAGTCTTACTAACTTTCTGGTTCTAAACACTTCAGAGACCATTTAGATACATCTGTTTACTTTAGATTTTGGGGAAAGAGGCTCTCCTACTTAGTGGGAGACAGAGACCTGACAAACCCACATTTGGTGCTGCTTCTATTCTGGAGCACCGTTTTTCTCTTCGATGAAAATTAAGGAATATACAAATTCAAGTGAGTAAATCTAAAATCTATTCTGAAATATACAGAAATCTCTATAAGAGCAAATATGCACAAATTTTAATCCCCTGCTTAGTATCTAAGTATTTACATTAAACTGATGAGTATCTATCTATAGATATAATAGATATTCTAATAATATCTATTAGAATAGATACTGATATTCTGATATCAAGTAAAAGCTAATATTTTATGAGGTAAAAGTGATAAACATGTTTGTAAAAGGCAACTAAGGGAATTTAAGAGAACAAAAAGACTACTATTACTAAAAGGCTGATGACCAAGTCCCTTTGGTAGCAGGCAGGAGATTCAACGGGCTACTACCATTCTAAATTCAAGTTTTTAAAAGCATTTTTTCAGAAGAAAGGGAAAAATAAATGCATAGTTCGGCGAGTTAGAGGAGAAATTAAATTTTCACTGCCCATTTTCTTCTCTATATGCTCATGTATTTATATTCAGTGTCTACACATTCACTGAGCATTGTATAACCATTAAGAATGCATGCACCTGTCATACAAGTAACATTAGGTCTATGTCCCAGGACCCCATCTATATCTTCCACCAAAACACTTACTGAATTCATTCCACTGAACAGGTCTCCCGATCCTACATGAGCTGTGTGCACAAAATTTGTTGGCTCTCCAATCATACTCCGGTCAATCCGCCGGCGCCTTTTCTAAAATACAGGGAATAATGTATTGAGAGATGATTTTATTAGCAACAAACTTACTCTGATGGATTTATATACTATGGATAAATGATTTTAATACCATAATAAAATTTGTCCATGACACCAGGATCCCGACATCTTGGACTACCACAATTACCTCATATGAGGAGATCCCCAAAAGAGATACATGCACACGCACACACGATTGGTAAAGCAAAACAACAGGTTATTATTCAGAATTTAAAATAGATTTTTTTCACCCAGCTGTAGCCACTGGCTTGTTTGCATAATAACCATTTAGGTTTCATTGTTTTAAAAGAAAGAAGACAAATATAAAATCATCAGTCACCACTGTTGTCAGCCAAGAATACAGTATGATTTGAGTATAGCACTCTTGATTTTTAACATCCCTTTTTAGCTTTCATCATTAACCGACATTATTTTGATGGTTATTTGTTATTACTTAGAGTACACCCCAAAACTCTTCCACACTGAAATAAATCAGCTAGCTGCCCAGTTTAGAGGAGATCTGGTCCTGGTCTATTGAGTCTTTTCTGGTCTGCCATGACTGGGAATTAAAGCCTATCCAAACTCCTACTAGACTGGGGCATAGTAACTCCTAGTTTCTGACAACCACCTCTTACAGGGTACAACATCCTGTTTCCCAGTAACTTCTGCTACCAGCTACAGTCCTTCCCCCACCCATATGCCCATTCACCTATTTAGAGGTATTTCCTTACCCTGCTGTTTCAGTCCTCATGAGATCATGAGAATCATGAGATCCAGAGACCAAGTTTATCTTAAATCAGTCCCAAGTTTTCCATGATCCCCTTAGATAGTGTGATTTGATTAATATATTCTAGAAACTGTGGTGTGTCTACATGTACTGGAATGTTGGTATAATCCTGATAATTCCTAAAAACTTATCAAGACAGACCCAAGCAACAGCCCCTCAGGATGAAAATATTTTCCATAAAGCCACACAAATTGGACATCACGCATTAATTTTAAGAGCCACTCTACATTGTTTTACTGTCCTCTTTTACTGCTACTGTTTAGCATCCCCAAAGAAGCTTGAGTTTTCCTTTGGAAATACTTAATGTTCATTCTCACAGCTGAACAGTGACACTGGGCTATTTCCAAGTTTGTGGGTTTTTCCCTCCAGGGTTCTGTGTGATAAGTGGTGGTCCTCTTCTATCTGAGCACAAGTTTTACTGTATCTTGGGAAAGTTTTCTTCTATTATTTTTTTAATGCACCTTGTGTTCCTTTTTGTAATTTCTGTAGTTCCTGTTACATGAACAGTGAATTGTGTGTGTGTAGTCTGATTTTCTTGTATTTTCATCCATTATTTTTATTTCCCTTTATAGTTCTACTATACTGGAAAGTAACTTAACTTGATCCTTTTCAGGAATCCACAAACTTTTTCTTACAGGCCAAGACAGTAAATAAGCCATTCAGTTTGTCATAGCTTCAATTCCACTCCGGTCCTTTTGGCATCAAAGCAGCTACAGACAGTGCATATACACATTAAGTGAGCTGTGTTCCAGTGAGCATTTATTTACACAAACAAGCAGCAGGCCCACTTTGGCCCATAAGCAGTAGTTGGATGACCTCAGCTCTAGAACCGTTATTTTTTAGTGGTAGATATGTATAATTTTTCATTTATGGTTATTTTTTCAGAAGCTCTTTGTTATGATATGACATCACTGCAGTATTTTTTAATCTCTTTGAGAATTTATATTACAGGTTTTCATTTACTGTCTCAAAATACATGACTGTATAAATTACAGTCTAAAACTAGGGGCAAAACACTCTCATTCGTGTACTTCAAGCCCCTTTTTGAAGGAGTGATCAGAAATTTTCCTCCTAAGGCCTTGTGCAACCAACCTGCAGGTGCAACTGCTCGTGACAGCAGTGTGTGCCATGGCTCAGCCAGAGGACCCACTTGGGCAGACAAGGGAAGGGCGTATTTCAGAAAGATAGACTTCCAGGCCACTGACAGTCTTGACCATCCCTTGCCCTGTGAACACATAGGAGCAACTTCTCAAACTCGATCTTCATCATTTCCCCTGGAAGGTGTGTTTATGGCTTAGCAGAAGTTTACACTTGGCCCAAGTGATTCACTCTAACAGTGAATTACTGAAGGAAGATGTTGGGAGAGGAGTCAGTATGGGGCACTCAGGCCACCACCCAATTCCACAGAAAGGTCTCATGAAAGGAATTAATAAAAGGATAAGCTTGTGAATAGGATAAGCTTGAGAGGATGTTCAACAGAGACTATTCTCTTACTGGAAAGCAAAGGACAATTAATTTGTAAATCTGAGAACAGTGAGTACAGAGTACAGATTCTGGCTTTCCCTTATATATTGGAAGGTTTCTTCATGCCACGTAATCTGACATTGATTTAAGGTACAGACACTGAGGCTTTCAGTCCTTCCTTTCCTGATGACATGACAAGTTGGTTTTAAAAGCTGCTCTGTGATAACTGCAGCTGACTGGGAGGCCTGAAGTGGGAGGTGGAAAGAAGTTATTACAGTAATATTGGTGGAAAGAGAGGACTTGGATTCAGCTAATGGCAGTTGAAGGGGAAAGAACTGTATAGATTTAAGATGTATGGGGGGGGGGGGGAATAAGATCAACAGCATTTAGTTGATGGCTGGATTTGAGAAGAGAGAGCCTGAAGTTAAGAACATCTGAAAAGAATGTACACAATTCACAGGGTCACAATACTGGAAGAGGGCCAGGCTTTAGGAAGAACATGAAACGGTTTAAGATGCAATGAATTTGAGTTATCTGTGCGACACGCTAGTGAAGTTACCAAGAGGGCAAGTTGGATACACGGATAAAGGATTCTGAAAGAATCAAGTCTCACCAGCAGAATATATTTTTTTTAATGTTTATTTTTGAGACATAGTGAGAGAGAGCAGGAGCAGGGACAGAACAGAGAGGGAGACACAGAATCTGAAACAGGCTCCAGGCTCTGAGCTGTCAGCACAGAGCCTGTTGCGGGGCTTGAACCCATGAACCATGAGATCATGACCTGAGCCGAAGTCGGACGGTTAACTGACTGAGCCACCCAGGCGCTCCTTACCAGCACAAAAGGTGTATAAGTTAAGGAGACCTCTGAGGAATAAAAGTGCAGAGAGAAACCCTAAAGTTGGGCAGAGAAAAATAAGCCCTCAAAGGATGCCACAAAGAAAATGCCTGAAAAGTAGGAGGAAAATCAGATGTGTCCTCTCCTCCAGGTATCATGAAGTGAGGACACAAACACAGTGGAAAGCTGGTGAGAGGTCAGGTCAAGGCTGGAATGTATCTGCTAGATTCATTAACACGCAGAGAGCACCTTCGTGAGGGCTGAGAGTGGAAGACTGCTGAGCAAGCGGACGAGTGTGCAGGAGGCAGGCAACAGAGTCAGACACAAACAACTGGACAAGCACAGGACAGAATGGAGTGCAGGATGCAGGTGAAAGGAAAAAAGCCGTTTTTCCATTTCAGAGAAGAAAGACAATTTATGCTTCATTTCTGATAAGATGCAGTAGAAGAGACTGAAAGTAGAGAAAAAGTAACGATCAACATGGTAAGCTTCCAGAGAAGGAAGGATATATAGATGCAGACATAGGCTAAGATGTTCTTCGGGTCTGTGTTCTAACACTGTCAATAAATCGAAAACCCAGATTCCAAAAATAATTTATTATTTCAAAATACAAAAATGTATTATTTTTGAGTCACTGTGGACATTTACAGAGTAGGACACCTTTGTGGTAAGACAGAGACAAGATTTAAATCATGGGCAAACAAGGGGAACTCCACAGTTGGGCCTCTGCAAAGAAAAACAGGAAATGGTGCGCTCGCTCTGATACGTATTAACTGTTGTCAGTAGCAGAGTCATCGTTTTTCCTGGAAACGTACTCTGTTCTTTATAGGGAACTCTGTCAAGAATGTCAACCTTCTGAATAATTGTTGCCATCCTTGAAATACTGTTATTCTGCATAAGGTCAAGGAAGGAAATTAGGAAAGATGTCTCTTCACATTTATTGAATGTCACTGATGCCTCTCATTAAAGCAGTTTAATCTTAGAGACACGTACTCAAATACACCCAATGTAAGGGCTCGAACTCAAGGAGCTGGGAATCAAGAGTCACATGCTCTACTGACAGAGCCACCCAGGTGCTGAAATACATATACTGAAATACCGTGGGATGAACCTACTTTAAATTCTCCACCTGGGGGAGAGGGTCACAGGTGACACAGGACATAATGGCCCCCATGGAAAGGGAAGCTTCTAGGGAAGCTGGGGGCTTCATACATGGGCGAGACACTTCTCTTCCCTCTGTTTCTGTATACATGTGGGAATTTTCCTAGTCAGTTTTTTAAGATGTGTTAATTTACTGAATTTTCTCCTACCCTTACAACACAAAAACCTAAGCCTTGTTTACTAGTAAAATCTGTGTGACACGAGAAGACTAAAACACTTGATTTCTTTTCTGATTTCCACCAGAACTTAGTTTTGTCCTCCTCCTCTCTGATACCGTACTATTCTAAAATCATTCCCTAATCTTCCTGTCTTCCTTCCCAAGACTACTAGGAGACAGATTTTAGGTCCTTGAAAACTACAGTGCAGAGCTACCAGGTGATGTATGGCTGTATACACCGTCAGGTTAGGGTGTGCTATTGGCATCCATCATTCATGCACTCCCATCACATGTTTCTTCTCTGAAAATAAAATTAGAGCCAAAAACCAAAGATGACTTATACAGTAAGGCCCAGTGGTAAGGTGTTCAGTGTACTCAGGGCTTCCACAAAATTTCTCTACACTTTTCTCAGCCGTGCCCTCCTGTCAACTTCAGTGTCAGGCTGGTAGCCAACAGAGCTGCAGCGCGTCTACGGCCGCTGTCCGTGTTTGATGACAAAGGGAAGAACAGTGCTTTATTAAAAACAAGGCAAACTCCCCCCGCTGAGGTTTCTACAAAACTTCCTCTGGCATCTGAATTCTGTGCCCTGTCCT